CCTCCCCTCCCCTCCGCCCACAGGGCCCCTCCTCTCCTCCCCTCCCCTCCGCCCACAGGGCCTCTCCTCCCCTCCACCCACAGGGGGTCAGGGAGCAGTCTGATCTGAGTGTGGCTTGGCTTTCGTTCCTTTTTCCCAGGATTAGGGTCAGCCCCCAAAAGGGACCCTGAGCTTACAGCCACTGTAGCCACCAACTCTACACGAGAAGATCTAGCTCCCTAGTTCTTCACTAGAGCCCTCTGATTTGGGCCTTACAACAGGCCTATAGTTGGACTCTACACTGGAGTTCTGAATGAACAGGAGAACTTGAAGTTGACTTGACACTGTGGCCTAAAGGCCTTGGGGCCTGCTGGGAGGGGAAATCAGAGGGAGGAGTTGCTGAACCTTCTGTGCAAGGGGCAGACCAGGCCCTGGTGCCTCTTCTCCCAGCACATGATGCACTGTCACCCCCACGATGGAAGGTACTCCCCAACTGGTTTCCTCACTCCACCTGGGTCCACAAAAGGCAGTCTGGCCAAGACTGCTGTGTCACCGACACTCTGTTCACAGATTTAAGGGGCCCCTGACAATCCTTTCCCTTACCGGCCAGTGTTTCCCAAAGTGTGGTACGCGTACCCCCAGGGGTACAGGAAGAGTTTGGTGGGGGTACACACTGCACCATGCTTAGCTGCGCCTAATTCTACGTTCTCATGAGTACGAGGGGTACTCAGCATTCTGAAAATTATATTGATAGAAGGGGTACACATTTGTCAAAAGTTTGGGAAACCCTGCTACCCCATGTTTATTTGCCATCAAAGTGGACATTTTTTTCTTCACAAGGTCACTTGTCATCCTTCTTCCCTGTGTATAATCAATTCCAGCAGAACAGTTCAGACCTCAAGCACCGCTTACTAATGGCAATGGCTTCCAGCACACGACACTAGATTAGAGGAGAAGGGGCCAGCAGACCAGATTCCTTCCTGTCATGTCACTCATAAGCCTTCAGTGGCTCATGTATCACCTATGTCAGTGGTCAGAAACTGTGGCTCTGCTGACTAATGACTTTGCGAACCACTGCCTTAGGGAAAAACATTTTAAAAAAACATTTTAATAATGTACTAATGTCTTTAACCTGAAGTCAAAACTTCTGGGTAAGAGGAATCCCTTATGCAGTGGTCGGAAAAACTCATTAGTCAACAGAGCGTGTGGCTCCAGAGCTGCAGTTTGCCGACCACTGGCCTAGGTGATCAAATCTAAATATCTACAACCTTGAGGATCTTGCTGGCTCACTTGACAAACTTGAGTGCTGCTTTTGAGTTTTTCTACCTCCTCAGGCCTTCCTTCTCTTCCGTCTTTCCCATCCTCCTCCAGGCACTGAAGAAATCAGGTACTGAGTGCACGGGTGCACACGCCCTGTTGTGCCCTCAATTTGCTGAATTCCCTCCTGGACCTCTGTACCTGCTACCTCCCTGATTTCCATTTTATCTTGTACCCCACATCCAGTCCATCAGCAAACCCTGACACTATTCCTTCAAAAGCTGCCCAGCTGCTGCTCTTTGCTTTCACCACCAACACTTGGGAACAAGTCACCATTATCTCATAACTTCTTCCGGTTTCCTTCCACATTTTCTTTCTTGCTTTTACTCTTGTCCACCCTCAGCCTGTTCTCCACACAAAAGTCTGGTTATGTTACTCCTCTGTTCCACACCCTCCCTCGGCTCTCAACCCAGGTTAAAAACCATGGCCTCCACAGTCCTTGTGACGTGGCCGCTCTCCTCTCTAACCTCACCCCTCGCCATGCTCCGCCTCAGTCACTTTGTTCCAGGTGACTGAGCAAACACACCGAACACACTTCTGCCCCTGGACCTTTACACTTGCTGGCTCTTTTGTCTAAAATACTCTTCCTTCAGGTAGGACTTGCCTCCTCTCTTCCCTGAGCACCCACCTAAATAGCACTCTGTATTCTCATATGCTGTCCATTCTTCTTCATAGTACTGACCTCTTCACATTTTCTATATGTCAGCTTGCCTAGCTTCTCTCCTTCCTTATTCTTTGAGAACAGGAACTTGTTCCGTTCATTGCTATATTCCCAGTGCCTAAAGGAGCACCTGGCACATTGTAGGCACTTGTTGTGCTCAACCAGCATGGCTCAGAAGTTGAACATCAACCTATGAACCAGGAGGAAGTCATGGTTCGATTTTTGGTCAGGGCACACGCCTGGGCTGTGGGCTCAGTCCCCAGTGGGGTCATATAGGAGGCAGCCAATCAATGATGCTCTCTCATCATTGATGTTTCTCTCTCTCTCCTTCTCCCTTCCTCTCCTTAGGTCAATAAAAATATACTATCTAATAAAGAGGGAATATGCTAATTGAGCCTCACACCGGAACAGATAGAGGCACTCACAGCCAATTAGGGATATGCTAATTGACTTTCCTGCCCTCAAAGATGGTGGCACCCACAGCCACAATATGGTGGCACCTAGTACCCTCAGCCCTGCTGGAGCAGCAGGTGCACAGCAAGGGGGTGTGCCTGCCTCTGGAGTCCCCCAGTCTCCTTAGCCCAGAGCCAGCCCAAGGCACAGGCAAGCCTCAGATGTTTTCTGCCCAGCTGCCCAGGGCCAGCCTGAGGGGCATGCAAGCCTTGGATGGCAGCTGCCTAGCTCCCCAGGGCTGCCTGAGGCTCAGGTAACCAGGACTGGCTGAAGTTGCACTGTCAGCAGTGGTAGCAGCAGAGGTGTGATGGGGCATCACCTCCCACCCTGAGGGCTCCCAGACTGTGATAGGGGGCATGCAGGGCTGAGGCATCCCACCCCCCCCCCACCCCCAGTGCATGAATTTTCATATACCAAGCCTCTAGTAGAAAACTAAATATAGCATAAATACTTGTGGAATGAAGGAATGAATGGGTTAACAAATTATCTCCTAAACTAGGCTCTAAGCACCTTAAGGGAAGGCATCCCTGTTTTTTTGTTTTGTTTTGTTTTGTTTTTAATATATTTTATTGATTTTTTACAGAGAGGAAGGGAGAGGGTTAAAGAGTTAGAAACATCGATGAGAGAGAATCATTGATCAGCTGCCTCTTGCACACTCCCCAGTGGGGATGTGCCCGCAACCAAGGTACATGCCCTTGACTGGAATCGAACCCGGGCTGACACTCTATCCACTGAGCCAAACCGGTTTCGGCAAGGCATCCCTGTTTTATCATCTTTGTGTCCCAATGTGAACACTTGTGAACAATGACAGCTTATATAAATGACTGAAACAATTGTAAATATCTACACTAATAAAAGGGAAAGATGCAAATTGACCATACCTTCAGGACACTCAACAGCCAATCAGGAGCTAGTATGCAAATTAACCCAACAAATATGTTGAGTCATTTTGCATATGCAGGCACCCAGCGGCTGGGGGCAGGGCAGGATGCCGGAGCTGCTGCTTCTGGGCAGCGTGAGAAGGTGGAAAGGCAGCTCTGATCCAGAGCAAAGGCAGTGCTGGCAGCCAGGGGAAAGAAGGCCCATTCTTGCACAAATCTTCGTGCATCGGGCCTCTAGTTTTATATAAGCCAATTTAGCCAAACACAGTTAAAATATGGATTGGGAACACTGAAAAAGAGCAAAGTCCCTAACCAGGCTGTCACCAAGGAGTGTGTGGTCTGGAGAAAGTCTGTTTTTGCCTCTATTGTCTCATTTGTAAAGGCAAGATTTGGCTTAGATTTTGAAATCCCTTTTAGCTTTGACATTCTGTGGTTGTAAGTTTAGGGTAACTGCACAGTCATTTGGCAAATATTTACTGAACTAGGTTCTGGACACTAATGAAAACACAAGACCCCAATCTCAGACCTCCCAGATTGAAAGAGCAAAACAAAACAGGGTCATCTGGGCTGCAATAGGAGCTGAGTCATAAAGAGGCCTCGAGTGGCAGCTGGGAAGGGCATCGATCTAGACTAAAGAAATGGATATGCAAAGGCAGGAGGCATGGAGACAAGGGATATTTGTACAGTAATTAGAACTTAACAATTTTACACGAAGAATTGTTTGAGACAAATGGCTTTTGGGTGCTGAGAGTGTATCCTGCACTCAACAAAACTAAATCCAGGAGAACATTTACAACTGGAAAACAGCCAGATCAGGCATGCCCACAAGCTGAACTGTTCAAGTTTAGGAAATGACCCAGCAAGTCCTCTCATTACTTCCTGTGAGATCTGAATTTTCCCCCATCAACCTGGGGTAACTCCCAGGTCACCTCACACCATTTCTACCTGCCAGCTCACGAACCATCAATTGCTGCCTGGTGGGATTTTGTGGGGGGAGGGAGCAAGGTCTAAAGCAGGTCAGCCTCCGCACACACGTCCCAGGCTGTAGCTCGAGGCAGCAGCTTTCTGGATGAAACAGCCTTGTTACCAGGCCGATACAGGAGAGGCTGAGCTTTGCTCTCCTCTTATTGGTCGGCCGAAAAGCACCTCCGGGAACCCTTGTTGCTAGAGGAGAGAACGAGAGCCCATTGGTCAGGACACCTCACAATGGTCAGGCAGCTCGCACGTTCTGCCAATGGGTTCGTTTCTGCCCGGGGGGCGGGGGAGGAGAAGAGAGGGCTGTCGCTTGGACCTCGACCTTGCGGGGCAGCTTGGCGCCAGGAAGGAGCTCAGCCGCGCCGACCCCCTCCCATTGGCTGCGCCGGGACCGCCCTCTCCGCGTCTACCGCGTGCTCCGGGCGCGACCGAGGCTGTCGCTGCCGGAGCTCAGAGCAAAGGCCCGAGCCCGGCCTCCCCGCCCGCAGCCGCCGTTCCCAGGAGCCCTGCAGCCAGGCCTGCTCCGGTGAGTTCCAAGCACCACGAGGCGCGGACCCTTCGGGGCGGACGAAGGGAGCATCCCTGTGTGCCGGGTCTGCGTTTCCTCGTATCTGCCCCCTGAATCATTCATCCATCCCGTGTGTATCGGGTCCTTCATTTGGCGTCCTGGGTCCATGTGCCGCCCCGCCTGTCCAGATCCTTATTCCTCCCTGCCGGTGCTGGGACAGACTGTGCCCTAAGGAATTCCGATCGGGAGACAATCGGAGGAGCGTGAGGACGGGAAGGTGACGCCCCGGAGGGACGATGTTCTACTATCCCAATGTGCTTCAGCGCCACACGGGCTGCTTTTCCACCATCTGGTAAAAGCGGCGGGTCGGGGTGTGTGTGTGTGTGTGTGTGTGTGTGTGTGTGTGTGTGTGTGTGGAGGGGGGGAAGGGGAGGGGCAGCTGGAAGGGGCGCCTGGGATCCCCACCTGACAACCCCCTCCATCCCCACTCACTCCCACTCTGTCCAGGTTGGCAGCGACGCGTGGCAGCCGGTTGGTAAAGCGTGAATATCTGAAGGTGAATGTGGTGAAGACCTGGTAAGGCCCAGAAAGAGAGGGGTGACCTGGTACCGGTGTGGGTCAGGGGTGGGCACGGTGGGCGGGGCTGGTTCTCAGGGCTGGCCCAGCGGTGACCAGGGCACGTTGCTTCCCCAGCGAGGAAATCCTCAGTTATGTGCTGGTGCAAGTGCAACCCCCGCAGCCCGGCCTGCCGCGCCCCCGCTTCTCCCTCTACCTCTCAGCCCAGCTCCAGATTGGAGTGATCCGGGTCTACTCACAGCAATGCCAGTACCTCGTAGGTAAGGCTGCACAAAAGTGGGCCAGAGCCCTGACCGGTTTGGCTCAGTGGTAGAGCGTCGGCCTGTGGACTGAAGGGTCCCAAGTTCAATTCCGGTTGAGGGCATGTATTTTGGTTGCGGGCACATCACCAGTAGGGGGTGTGCAGGAGGCGGCTGATCAATGTTTCTCTCTCATCGATGTTCCTACTTCTCTATCCCTCTCCCTTCCTCTCTGTAAAAAACCAATAAAATAGATTTAAAAAAAAAAAAAGTGGGGCAGAGCTGAGAGGCCCTCAGCGAGGCTTGCTCTCTCTACGCTGCCCCCCCCACCCCTCCTGCCCACAGAGGACATCCAGCACATCCTGGAGCGCCTGCACCGAGCCCAGTTGCAGATGAGAATAGATATGGTGGAGACTGAACTGTGAGTGTCCCCTGGGACTGAGACCACCCAGCAGCCTTTGGTGGGGACCCTCACTGGTGGGCCTTAGCTCATCTCAGCCTCAGTCCCTGACAGCCACATTGTCTCTCAGACCCAGCCTGATGCTTCCTAACTGCCTGGCCATGATGCAAACTCTGGAAGATGCTCCGGACCCCTTTTTTGGGATGATGTCTGTGGATCCCAGACTTCCCAGCCCCTTCGATATACCTCAGGTGGGGCTCACTCTCCCGGGACCCCCTCTGAATGATGAGCTGACAGTACAGAAGGGAGTGCTGTTCCTGGACCAGTCTGACTCGGGTTAAGGGGAAGGGAGCTGTGGGAGACAAGCCTGCTCCACTTATCAAGACTGACCTAGAGTACGGTGACCAGATGTCCCGCTTTTGGCAGGACAGTCCCAATTTTTAACAATTTGTCCCGTGTACCATGGCGTTTTAAAAAAGTCCCGACTCAGGACGCGGGACAAATTGTTAAAAATCGGTGAAATGCCACTGGACGCGGAACAAATTGTTAAAAATCGGGACTGTCCCGCCAAAAGCGGGATGTCTGGTCACCTTAACCTAGAGGCAGCTCTTATCCCCATTCATCTCTACACTGTCTCCTCTGATCCAGGCCTTCATTGTCCCTAGGTTTCCCTACCCGTGTCCTTCTCCATTTATTCCTAACACCCCCCACAACTTAGACCGTGTTATTCCCTTCCTTCAAAGGCATCTTCCGTGATTCCCCGCTGTAAACAGAACACTAGCACTGAGGGCTCTGGGCCCTGGTGCGGAGCCAGCCATCCCAGGCATCTCAGCACATTCTCTGGGCATTTTTGTCTCCTGACACACCCGTCTGGCCCCTGGTCCCAGAGATGCCACATTCGGTTCTTTGCTTAAGTCCATAATGGTTACCCCTGTTCTTTATTAGTCAAATTCTACATATTCTTATAGATCTCACTCACATGCTACCCTTTTCCATGAAGCCAGAACCAAATGTTCGGGAACTCAGCCTTGTTCTATCCTTTGTGTTGACCCTTGCTGGGGTCATAAACAAACTTGTCTTCCCTCTAGACCAGTAGTTCTCAATCTTTCTGATGTCACCACCCTTTAATACAGTTCCTCATGCTGTGGTGACCCCCAACCATAAAATTATTTTCGTTGCTAGTTCATAACTGTAAATTTGCTGCTGTTATGAGTCGTAATATAAATATCTGTGTTTTCCGATGGTCTTAGGCTCTACAGCAGCGGTTCTTAGCAGGGTCGCCTAAGACCATCGGAAAACAGATATTTACAATTCATAGCAGTAGCAAAATTATAGTTAAGAAGTAGCAACGAAAATAATTTTATGGTTGGGGGTCACCACAACATGAGGAACTGTTTTAAAGGGTCACAGCCTTAGGAAGGTTGAGAACCACTTCTCTAGACCATATGTTACTTAAGATCAAGAACCCTTTTTCTCCTTTTGCCCCCCCACAACTTGATATAAGGGTGCAGTGCTTCTATCACAGATTAACTGACAAAGACTAAAACACTGGTGGGGGGAACGGGGATCATGTGGGCAGGAACGGGAGGAAAGGAGGCCAGATGCGAGTGTGTTCACTGCATGCGAATGTAAGAAGTAGGCATTAAAAGGCATCACTGTCCATTGTGTGAATAAGATTGTGGCACTGGGAAAACGGGGTTGAAGCTGACCCCTCTATTTTGTCTCCAATTCCTCTCCAAAGATTCGACACCTTTTGGAGGCTGTGACCCCGGAGAGAGGACCTGAGGAGGCCCCTCCTGAAGTCCCTAAAGAGCCTGGGAAGCCAGGTGAGCAGAGAAGGACTTCTTTCTGGTGAGAGGCATAGAAGCTCCAACAACTTAAGAAATAACCATCTTTGTCCCAACTGGTTTGGCTCAATGGATAGAGCGTCGGCCTGCAGACTGAAGGGTCCCGGGTTTGATTCAGGTCAAGGGCATGTACCTTGGTTGCGGGCACATCCCCAGTAGGGGGTGTGCAGGGGACAGCTGATCGATAATTCTCTCTCATCGATGTTTCTAACTCTCTGTCCCTCTCTGTAAAAAAAATCAGTAAAATATATTTAAAAAAAAAAGCCTGTCCAGGGTGGCTCATGGTTGAGCATTGACCTATGAACCAGGAGGCCATAGTTCAATTCCCAGTCAGAGAACATGCCTGGATTGCAGGCTCAATAACCAGTAGAGGGTGTACAGGAGTTAGCAGATTGATGTTTCTCATCATTGATGTTTTAATCTCTGGGGCCAGGACCTGATCTGGAAGTAGCTCTGCTGCTTCTTCCACCCTGAAATCAACTTTAAAATATATTTTTTTAAAAAGAGTCAGTTCTATGAGGTCAGAATTCTATCCCCATTTTACAGATGAGAAAAGTGAAGCCCATAGTGGTTAAGTAACGTATTCATGGTCATACGGCCAGTGACTAGCCTGGGTCTGACTGGAACTCAGGTTGACTTCACTCCCGAGTCCATGCTTTTGCCTCACATGGTATCGGAACTTGGAAAGGAGCAGAGTGGCTGGTGTGACTTCTCTGCCCCTTCAGACAGGACCCAGGTGTCTGTGCTGTCTCCGGAAACCATCACCCTCCAGGAAGCAGAGCCCATACGCATGCTACAGATCGACGTGAGTTATCCCCAGGCATACAGGGCCTGGGGCCTGAGCCCTGCTTCTGAGCTCAGCCCTCCTTGTATCTACTTCTCTCTGCCCAGAGTTCTGCCTTCTCTGTCTCCATTTCCCCTCTCCCTGCCCCTGGCACGGGAGTGCCCATTGGGCTACCTCGACCCTGCCCTGGGGCGTGCTTCTAAGACTCGCTCTCCTGGATTCACTTTTTTTTTTTTCAAAAATGGAATTGAGTTCCCTCTCCTTGTTCCTCCTCTCACACAGGGTGAACGAGACCTCCCAGAGGTTAGCCGTCGGGACTTGGACCTGCTCATTGCTGAGGAGGATGAAGCTATCTTGTTGGAGGAACAAGGCAGGCCTGCCTGGCAGTGTGGGATGTGCTGGACAGTCAGGCCCTGGGCGTGGGAAGCTGGGCTTGGGCAGTGCTCTCACCCCTCTGTGCTCTGAGCCCGGATCCTCTCTCTCCCCGCAGTGTCCAAGGAGGAACCCCGAGCCCCAGAAGTGGAAACTACAGTTCCCCCACTCTCACCTCTAGCTCTTCCACCGTAAGGGCAGGAACCCCTGAGCCAAGGAAGGGGTCCGTGCCAGGAGGGGTGTTCTCATCGCTCTTGTCCATTCCCGTCAGGGTGGAAGAGGCAGCAGAGCCGCTGCCAGGCCAGGCCCTGGCCCCCGAGGAGGTGAAGCCAGCAGTCTGGGAGCCTGCGGCCCTGCCTGCTGGTGAGTAGCCATCATGCCTGGGTCCTTCCCGGGGCACCTGCACAGCTGTTGCAGCAGGGCCTGAATCCCCACTTGCTGAAGGCTTCTAGCTCCTCGCCTGGGTGGCGGAGCTAGGACCTCGCCTGTTGTTGCAGAGGTGACGCCCCCGCCCCCGCCGCCCCCGCCGCTGCATCTCCCAGCCCCGCTCAGCCCAGAGGTGAGTAGCCGTCCTTCTAAGCCTTCTCTTCACTCAGAGCTGCTCCCCCATAATCAGCTTCCCCAAGCCCCAGGCTTCTGCTAGCCTACAAAAGCCTTTGTGCAGCCCTAGCCAGTTTGGCTCAGTGGATAGTGTGCCAGCCTGGGGACTGAAGAGTCCTGGGTTCGATTCAGGTCAAGGGCACATGCCCTGGTTGCAGGTTGGGTAGGCAGTATGTAGGAGGCAGCCTATCAATGATTCTTATCATTCATGTTTCTCTCCCTCTCTGAAACCAATAAAAATATATTTTTAAAAAAGCCTTTGTACAAATTAGTAGAAGGTGGCCCTACCTATCCCCCAATTTCACCAGCTGAAGGGGAGGAGCTGCCATGCTCCTGGAGTGCCCACCCAGTCCTCTCCTAGGGTACCTTGGGGGCCTGTCTGCAGTTGAGTAGCTTTGCCCCCCCCTCCTTACCCGCTCTGCAGAGGCGGCCCCCAGCCCCCCCACCTGCTCGCCGCCGCCGCCGTCGCCGCCGCCAGTTACTGTTCTGGGACAGGGAGACTCAGATCTCCAGGGAGAATTTCCAGAAACAACTGCAAACCAGAGCTCACTGCTGGGAGTGTGTGAGTGCAGCCCGGACTTTGCAGGGGATGGAGGCAGGGAGGGCCTGGGGTAGGTACATGCTGGGCCTTGTAATATCTCCTTAAATGCATGCATTGGGGTCTGCACATACTACAGCTCCCCATACTCCTTTAGTGACCCGGCCCAGCGTGTCAGCACCAGTTAAAAATCCTGCTTTTAGCAATGAGCACAGCAGGCAGGGGCACGAGCCTGGAAGGTGGAAGGCCAGAGCACTGGCACAGGCATTGCAGTAGGGAAGGGGCAGTGGGAGTGACTCAGTCTTAACTGGGCTCTGACCTTCCCTATCACACAGCCAGTGGTGCAGCCCCCTGAGAGGACCCTCAGAAGCCCCGCAGAGCTATTTCAAACTCCAACTTACTGTAAGTGACGGGAGTTGGCATGTGGGATCTTTGTTCTTGTTGTTCCTCACGCCTCAAACCCTGTCCCTGCTGCCACCTGTTCCTACCCAGCTGGCTGGCTACCCCCAGAACTGCTGGCTCTCTGGACCCACAGTGCCCAGCCACCCCCACAAGCACTCAGACGAACGCCGCCTCTGGAGCCGGAAGAGGCTGCTGAGAGGGAGGCAGCAGCTGAGGAAAGGAGAAAAACAGAGACGCCGAGTGATATCGAGGTAACTGCCCTCACTCCTTCCTGCAGGACCTGCTTTGCTTAAGCTCCCGCAGGCTGCCTTCTGCCATGTGAGCCAATGGCATCGGGCTCGGTGTCCTGGCCGTGTCAAGGCCGTTTCAGGGCGGGGACTGTTTCACTTCTGCCCCACGTGCTTCTGCAAAGTTTGGGATCTTAATTCTTTCTTTTACCCCCAGGTCCTGAGGGAGGCTCAAGAGCCCAGTGGGCCTCTTATGCTGTCTTCAGGTAAGAAGGGGCGGTGAAGACCACCACCCTAACCACTGGCCCAGGAAACTGGTATCCCAGCTGCTGCCAGTTTTTGACAGAGGGAGTATCTAACATAGAAAGCATAGATGGGTTCTCTTCAGTGCTCCCTCCTGGATGCTTGTAACAAGTCACTGCACAGCTGACATCAAGTTCACCCAGGTGGTCCCAAGGCCCCAGCTGCTCAGATCCAAGCAGACTGAATCAGGAACCCCCCCTCTCCCCCCCAACAGAGCTCTCCATAGAAGCAGCTGAGGAGGAGAAGTCTCACATCAGCCTCATCCCCCCGGAAGAGCGGTGGTAAGCAGCTAGGCCTGGCCACGTGCTAGGATGGGCATGCCTCTGGTCACCATCAATCACAGCTGCTACTCCCCTGCTCCCACCTGACTCGCATGCTCTCCTAGGGCCTGGGCTGAGGCAGAGCAGCCAGAGCCCCCTGTGTTGCCTGTGGTGCCCGAACTCCCAGAGGTGCCCATGGAGATGCCCTCGGAGCTGCCTCCGGAGGCAGAGCTGCTCTCACTGGATGCCGTGTACAGGTACCAGGGCGGGGCGGCCTCGACTGGGTGGGCCTGGTGGGGGCCTTGGTTAACAGTTCTTGACCCCTACAGGGCAGTGGCGCTGGAGCTGCAGGCCAACAGGAAGCCAGATTTCAGCAGCCTGGTGTCACCTCTTAGCCCTCGCAGGATGGCTGCCCGGGTCTTCTACCTGCTCCTGGGTGAGAGTGGGCACGTGTGTGTGTGGCGGGGAGACACACTGGCCAGAGGCCACTGTAGGGACTCCCCCTGACCAGCTCCCTTTCTGCCTTGACAGTGCTCGCAGCCCAGCAGATCTTTCGCATGAAACAAGAGAAGCCATACGGGCGCCTCCTGATCCAGCCAGGGCCCCGATTCCACTGTGGTTAGAGCCAATTCAGAAGCTGCCAAGAAACCAGCTACGTTAAACCCTGTCTTGCCTTACTAGACCCTGCCTGTCTCCTTTCTGGAATTCTCCTCTATTCTTCATGCTCTCAGAGCAGAGCTACTGTTTAAGTAGAAAATGAACTGTCTTTATTATATTATGTTGTCACAAGTCAGTTTGTGTTGTTCCATAGCATAGCGGATCCAGTCCCAGGGACAGCTCCATAAGGCATAGAGTAGCAGGGCTGGGATTCCAGAATCTGGTAAGGCATGAGGTGGAACTGGACTGAGAGGTGGTCTTGGGGCCCAGGCAGGCTGTTCTCTCTGGCCCAGCTGCAGCCCGCAGTCTAGGTGAGGCCCAGGATGGCCTGGAGCTCCTGAGCCTTGTTGCTAGGCAGTGAGCCCAGTGCTGAGTGGAAGCTGTCGGTGTGCTGTTCAGCCAAGAACTTCAGGAGCAGCAGCAGTGCGGCCTTGGTGTCTGGGTGGGATGAAGAGAGATCCAGGGAGGACTGGTCCCCAACCACTACATGTCCCAGACCCTCTGAGCCTTGCTGCTTCTTGCCTCCCCCACTGCCCTGCCCATGAAGGCCACCCTCACCTGATGGGATCTTGTCATCAGCCTGAATGAGGCTGCAGATGCGTAGAAGCTCAGGAGCCACATCTACAACCTGTGGAAAAAGGACCAACTTAGGCAGCAACAGCCCTGAGCCCAGGACTGGTGTGGGTGGTAGGGGCCAAGGAGACAGTCTCGCCGGGACCGGTTTGGCTCAGTGGATAGAGCGTCGGCCTGCGAACTGAAAGGTCCCGGGTTCGATTCCGGTCAAGGGCATGTACCTTGGTTGCGGGCACATCCCCAGTGGGGGGTGGGGGTGGTGGTGGTGGTGCAGGAGGCAGCTGGTCAATGTTTCTCTCTCATCGACGTTTCTAACTCTTTGTCCCTCTTAATTCCTCTCTGTGTAAAATCAATAAAATATATTAAAAAAAAAAAAAAAGGAGAGAGTCTCCTCCCACCACGGCTGCTGGAGCCTGACACTAATTCACAAGAATCCAAGGTAATTGTAAAACGTGAAAAGGACCCATGAAACACCACGATGACATTTTAAGGGTGGGGAGTGGAGAGGATTAGGGGATTGTGATTAAAGATTAGGACATCAGCCGAAGCCGGTTTGGCTCAGTGGTAGAGTGTAGGTCTGCGGACTGAGAGGTCCCAGGTTCGATTCCGGTCAAGGGCATGTACCTTGGTTGCGGGCACATCCCCGGTGGGGAGTGTGCAAGAGGCAGCTGGTCGATGTTTCTCCCTCATCGACATTTCTAGCTCTCTATCTCTCTCCCTTCCTCTCTGTGAAAAATCAATAAAATATATTTAAAAAAAATAAAAATAAAAAAAATAAAGATTAGGACATCAGTCCAAACCTAGCTACTTGGTGCGGTCAAATCTCAACAGAAAGCAAAGCTGCTCTGACTGGAATGGATGGTGAGGTGGCCCAGCCTGGTAGCCAAGCTCACAAAGCAGCCTGAAAGAGCCCTGTTCTAGGAAACCAGCCTGGTGGGGTTGTGACTAATGGACCGAACCAGAAGGGGAGGCTCCCTGAGGAAAAGTGCTATGTGGTGAGAATGTTGTCGCAGGCCAACTCTGCCGATCACTGAGAAGTAGCTCTGCTCAGAGCAGGAAGAACAGCACTTCCACTCACAGGATAGGCCTGGCTACCAATCCTTGCAGAGGAATCAATGAGAAAGCAGAATAGGGTGTGCCAAAGGGCAGCTTAAACCATCACTCTGCATCACCTACAACTGAGGGCAACTCTGCCTATCACTGAGAAGGGATCATTAAGATTCCCTGAGGGCTCTGGCACGGTTACCTGTTCAGGGCTGTTCTGGTACAGGAAGCTGAAAAGGTGTCCTATGGTGACCCACTCCTCCAAGTCCTCCTTCAGTGGCAGGGCGTGCAGCAGAGCAGCCAGCACCTGGACAGACGGATGGCTCTGGTCTCTTGCCCCAGACCCTCCTCAGCTTCCTACCACTACCCAATACCCCTATCCTCACCTGGGGATCTGGTTTCCTTGTGGGACTGGCCATCAGTAGGCGGGCCAATGCCCCACAAATGTTATCATGGACCCGATCATGGCGCTCCCGTGCCAGGAGGGGCAAGAGGAGCCCCACCAGCTTGGAGAAGTATCTGATCCGTGGTCAAGGAGAAGGCACTCTCATCCCCAAGCCCAGGGACTCTCCCAATCCCACCCCAGCCACTCTTGTGAGCCGAGGATACTCTTGGGCAGGGCGGCCCCCGTGCTCAGCCAACACGCCCAGCCCAAAGATGGCATTGCTCCGCACTTCGGGGTCCGTCTCCCGGGCAGCGCTCAGCAGCACGGGGAGCAGGCGGGACACAAACTGGGCTGAGGCGGCACCCAGGCCCTGAATGGACTCCGCCAGCGTCCCCACTGCAAAGGACTTCTCGGCCACTGTGCAGCCCTGTTTCTGATGGGAGGAGTGAGTGCACATCAGCCTGGGACTGGGACACAATGGGGCGCTGGGCAGAATGGGGTTTGAAGCCAGAGGGTAGGGCACTCACCGTCTTGCAGAGCAATAATGGCAAGAACCCAGCAAAGAAGGGGGCAAAGGTGTCTCCCCCTGCTGCAGCTGCCAGGGCAGGAATGGCCTCACCAGCGTACTCTAGCAGCATGGCATCGTATTCAGCCTGTGGGGCCAGGTCAGGGCTGGAGCACCAAGCAGCTCTGGACTGGCACCTCCCACCACGCTCCTCCAGTGCTCAGGGTGGTCCCTCCCAGGGTGGGCTTGTTTGTGGGAGGGCCAGCTTTTTTTCCTGGCCCTCCTACTCTCATCTATCATCCCAAGCCCACCCTCAATCCCCACCTCCAGGAAGCCTTCCTTGAACCCTGACTGTCTGAGTGGGAGCGTGTTGTAATGTTCAGAGCCATTACCAATCTTTTGGTAGCCCTGGCTCCCCTAGGCCAAGCCCAAGTGCACTGTCCACCCTGCCCTGTGGAGACTACCAGAAAATTACCTGGTCTCACAGTTTGCATCCATAGCTCTCACCTGGTCCTCGTCCTCCTCCTCCTCCTCCGTGTCCTGACAGGCTGTCTGTGGGAAGTAGCTCAGCTCAGTCAGCTCTCTTGCCCCTTCCCCTCTCCACTGGGTGAGGGCATGGGGAGCTGGACCTGTAGCCTCTGACCCTCCCCATCTGGGGCTGCGCCACCTCTGCCTCCTGCAGCCCACCTGCCGTGCTCACCTTCCGCTGCAGCACAGCCTTGAGCATGTTGCAGAGCTCAGCGAGGCGCCCCGGGGGCTGCAATGCAAGGGCCCCACAGCTGCGCAGCACCCCAGTCAGGGCCTCCAGCACGGCCATCACCACCTGGCGCTCCCGCTCCCCGTATACTGCCTGCATGTAGGACGGGACCACCTGGGCCAGGATGACCTGCAGAGCTGAGGACATGAATGGCTGAAGTCCTGCTCAGGTCCTGCCCTTCTAACCCCAACCTCTGGTTCCAGAGGCCCCAGCCTGGCCCGGCCCCCTTCTCACCAGCAGTACTGGGCTCTGAGGGGCAGCTTTGAGAGATCTTATGCAGCGCACAGCAGAACTGTCCCAGAGCCTCATGGGCTGCCTTTCGCACGTTCAGGTGAGGGCACTGCAGGATGAGGAGAGGAATGTGCCTGCTCTGTGCAGGGGGAACACAGGGCCCCTGACTCAGTGTCCACCCACTTCACCCACTGTCCACTCACCTCCAGAAGTTTGAATACTTCTTCAAAGACTCTCTCCATGTAGGGAAGGAAGGCCACACTGTGAACAGACACATGGCCATGGGGAAGGGGCTCCCAGGCAGAGGACCCAGTGCCAGGAACCCAGTGCGGGAAGGGCCGATACTCACCTGGTGTTCACAGAGATCTCCCCCAGGGCAGCACAGGTGTCTTCCTTCTCATCGAAAAAGGCGTTTTCCACGCTGTACCTAGAGTAAGGTAAAGAGTTAGCAGCGATCAGGCACCAGCAGGAACAGGCCCCTTGTCCAAAGCTAGGATTCCTAAAATGATACCCCTCCGCACCCTGAGATCTCTGAGTCATCCTCCTCTTCCTCGTCCTCATCCATGAGTTCCTCCTCTTCCTCTCCGTCACTCTCATCATCAAACAGAAGAAAGGAGCTGCTGCTGTCGTACTGAGGCTGGACAGAGGAGGCTCAGCTGGTTTAAGGAGATTTATCTCACCCTGGGCGGGCCTTCCCCAACCGCCTCGCCCTCCCGTCTGCTCACCACAATGCCCTCAGTGGAGCGCAGCGACAACAGCATGAGTGTGGTGATCTGTGGCAGGTAGGGTGCCAGGCTCTCACCCATCAGCCCCGACAAGGCTGCAAACAGGCTGTACCTGGTGGAGGCAGGTGGAAGCTGACAGTCCTGCCTACGACAGCCAGACAGGATGGGGAGCCAGGGAAACCTCTGGTCCAGAACCAGAGGACTGAGGGTGGAGCGGGGACAAACGAGGCCTCACTCACGTGCAGCGCCGCAAGTCAGGGTCGTCTACCTGGTCACACAGGCCCAGCCCCAGCTGGCAGCACTCCTCAGCCAGGGGCCTCATGGGCTCCCCCACTGCTCGTGCCAGCACCCCCAGTGTCTCTGTGGGGGCAAAGACTGGGTTAGCACTGAGATGTGGAGCTGGACTGAGGAATGCAGGGCCAAGGCCTGGGGGCCAAAGGTGGCAGACGGAGGTAATTCAGAAATCCCACCTACTCTTAGATAAAATGGGAATGCCTTCCTCACTGAGCTGGGACCCCTGGGCTGCTCTGGGGAGATGTCTGTCAACAGCAAGTGAGCACGGCCCTTCCCTGGCACTGGGAGTCCTGCCTGGGAGCCCCTTCCTCACCCAGGCTCTGGATCCGCAGAGGCTGCAGGTCCTCGTGGCCTGTCACCAGGAAGTCCCGCAGGTGTTCCATGACGGTGGGGAAGTAGGGCAGCAGGGAGGCCTGGGCGGCCGTGGCTGAAGGACAGAATCAGATTGGGATGTGGGGGGTGTCGGGACCAACTGCCACAGGCTTTCTGGTGAACCCTGCACCCCATCTCCTGCCTCCTCCTCCTCACCAATGGCCCCCAGGGCGCTCACGGCCAGCTCCTTGGCCCGGGGGCTGCTGGGGTTCCTCAGAGGCTGCAGCATG